GTATACTTCTTTTTCCTAATGGTGTATTTGCTGACTTAATTACTTGGATCAGTCTTGTACAGCAAGGGAGAGTATTGTCGCCAAGTTGGGTCAAAGCTAGAGATGCTCCGATCAGGATTTTTGCAGCCGATACAGAGTACCGATTCCTTGTCATGGTGATCGGCTGATACTGAGTACTTATTCTTATGCTTCAAGCTTTATATCGAATTAAGCAAATTTCCCCTTTAATTATGAACCTTAAGAGAAGATCTTGCCTTACCTAAGAGGATAAATGAAGAATGCTGCATATAATTTATACGGATTTAAACGGATCTCTTATAACCTTTTAGGTGTGAATGTGTCATGGCCAGAAGCAGCTTTACAGAAAATAATTCATCCATTCATTTTACTTCAGCTTAGTCCCTTATTTAGCAGGGGTCTCCACAGTGAAGGTAAAGATGACAGTAGACAACCCACTAGATCAGGGCTTCTCAATCCTGTTCCTGGAGATCTACCTTTTCTACCTAAAACACAGCTCTCACCCTGATCAAACACACCTGAACCAATTAATTAGGACCTGAACAGCACTTGATAATTACAGGCAGGTGTGTTTGAAATGGGTAGCAACTGAAATCTGCAGGAAGGTAGATCTCCAGGAACAGGGTTGAGCACCCCTGCACTAGATGATGTCATTCGGCAGTTAGAAAATGTTAGAGTACTTTGTAATACTACAATTCCAAATGAAAAACTATCATATTAAAGTCCCTTTAAGGAAAGTCATTTCACAATGATAAACAGTTTGGTCTGCTTATCAGAATTATGGGTATTTTTGGCCAGGACAAACATTTTTTAGTCTTATGCCTTACCCAGAATATAAAAATACATATAATTACATTTAGATCATTTACTTTAATCATTACTATTGGAATTTGAGAAGAGTTTTTAAGCATTTCTGAAGAAAATCACATACTGCACATTTAAGTTATGTTGTTTGCACTTAATGCGTGGCGGAACATTTCTTGTAGTCTTTAAAGTATTTCTTAATCTTCTGAGTAGTTGATGTTGAGTTACATTAAAGTTGTCAGGAGGTTTTGGGACTAAACATGAAAGCAGTGTAATGTTCTTCTCTTCTTAATACTGGTTTAATTTTCTTGTTGCTTAAAGGTACACAAAAACCAGAATGGGCACTATCTCTATGCTGGGAAAAAAGTAGCTGCTTCTGGCAATTTGTAACTAACCATATGCTCCTCTTTCTAAAGCTGTTTCTTTGTGTGCAGGATGTACTTGTAATGGTTGTCTCATATATTCGCTTCTTTGAGGTGTGTGTTTGTGTGTGTTTCTTTAACGGGGCTATTAAGTATAATGCTCATTATCTAGCAAGCATCGATTGTGCACACTGTTCTACATTGAAACATGGCTGCAGTGCTAATTGCATCTGCACATTCACGTTGAATTAAAAGATGTGGGTCCTTTTTATCCTGAGATTTTCAGATATAATTTTGTTGTAATAACTCTTTCAGTCTATTGCAAATGCACGTTATTGCTTATGATTTAATAATTTAAATGACTCAAACATGAGAGACTGTTTGTTTGCTGTGTGGGTGGGGGGGTCTGGAACTAGATGCCGTCATGTCAATGTGTCCTACGTTTTTTTTTTAAGTCAGCAGGTCATGCAGCATCATTTATTGACAGACATTGATTCTTGTATATAGTTTCTTTATATTAACTTATATTTTCTTCTATATTACTACATTCTTTAGGTTTTTCTGACAAACCAGTAATTATTTCTAAACTTCTTTTTCTTTTTTTTCTTTTTCAACTTCCCAGGTTCTGCAGGTTGCAATGTCCCGAATTTTGATTGCCAGTCATAAGCCAATTGTAATGATTTGTTTTGGTTCAATTTGAAATTTCCCCTATCAATTGCAGAGCCCGGGGGACCAGAGTGAGTGCTCTGACTTGGCCCCCACTGATCCTCTTTTCTTTATTTTTTAAAGAAATGCTAGTGGTTTAAAAAGAAAAAATGTTTTAAGGCCTGTGTAAGCATTCAGGCACAAAAAAGTATCATTTGTATTTGTATTAAAGTGTCTTTTATTGATTTTTTTTGTTACAACTAAGGGTGCTTTCACACCTGTCAATCGAATCAGTTGTTCCGAAACAGAGATTACAATTGTTACATTGTTGCTCTTTGCTCTTGGTGCGGTTCGCTTTCACACTGCAAAGTTTCTAATCGGACCAAATGAGCTAAAACAAGTCACGTGCAAGTAAACTCTCCTCACATTGGTCAGAGTGTCAGGGTTTATTTTGCAGCGCCCCGCTCAGCTGTCAGGAGAGGTGGTGGTTTGGTGGTGATTGACAGGGTGCGCGCGCGCGACGTGTCTGAGGAGAGACGCGGTGGGGAGGGTTGAGAAGGGTGCGCGACGATGCCTATTTGAGGACCGGGAGGGAGACGCGAGATTACCGGGAGATCATTACTCGTTTGCAGGCATCCGGAGACTCGCGAAACTTCCCGCCATACTCATAATTCTCTCTTCATATAGCCGTAAGCCTATTACATATCCATAAAACACTGTGATATAACCGCGCTCGGATCGGATCGCTTTCTCACTGCAATCGAACCACTCCAGGGTTTGTTTCAATCGAGCCGAGATCACCTCATTCAAGCGATCTCGGAGCGATTACTTTGGCGCAGAACAGAGCACGATTGCCCTGTTCACATATGCCAAACGAACCGCGCTAACTGGGCAAACGAGATGCGTTCCGAAACAAAAGTGTAGGTGTGAAAGCACCCTGAGACTACACAGTGCTTTTACATTTGGTTATTAAATTTAAGAATATTGTTAACTGAATATTGTTAGATTTGCTAGAAAAGCACAAAGCACTAGCTACACATTTCCATCCACCTATTTTTATCCGCATTTTGGATATGCGCATAAAAAAAATTGGTTGATGGAAACGCCAAGATGCGCATACATTATGAAAATGCTCATAAAAAATTATGTGCATAACTGAGTAAGAAACTTTTTATTCGATACCAAAAGAAATGCACATAAACTATGATGGAAACACTTACCGAACAAATTCCAGTATGCACATACTGCCGCAGCAAATTCCATTTTTACTGTTGATATTTGACACCAGTTAATCAGGAAGTGACAATTTTGTTTTCTTTGACTCGTTGGATGGAAATGCAGCTTTATTCGCATATCTTATCTCCGATAATCTAGGTTTGCTAATTAAGTTAATTGGCATTATTGGATGGAAACATTCACCTTGATCTTTGCTCTTTGCTCTATTGTATTTTATCTATGCTTTAATTTAGTTTAGTTTATGCATATTTTAGTCCAAACTCATAACATGATGAACTATTTCCAAACAGACCTGTTTAAGTTATCTATTGAAATTGTGTTTATATTGCAAACTGTTTACCAGAAAAACTAAATATTGCTGTGTGTGTGTGTGTGTGTGTGTGCGCGTGCGTGCTTGCTATACGCGCACACATATACTCGTGCGTGCTATACGCGTGCTATATACTGTGTGTGCACACACACAGTATATTGCATAACAATATTATTTAATTTCTTTTCGGCTTAGTCCATTTATCAATCCGGGGTCGCCACAGTGGAATGAACCGCCAACTTATCCAGCAATTTTTTACGCAGTGGATGCCCTTCCAGCCGCAACCCATCTCTGGGAAACATTCTCACACACACACACTCATACACTACAGACAATTTAACCTACCCAATTCACCTGTACCGCATGTCTTTGGACTGTGGGGGAAACCGGAGCACCCGGAGGAAAACCGCGGGAGGGAGAACATGCAAACTCCACACAGAAACGCCAACTGAGCCGAGGCTCGAACCCACGACCCAGCGACCTTCTTGCTGTAAGGCGACAGCACTGCCTACTGCGCCACTGCTTCACCAGCATAACAATATATTATATATATTTTTGTATATATAATTTTTTGTTATTATATATTTTTTGCTATGAGATTATTTATATTTTGTTACTAGATCCATATCCTTAAAAAAATTGTCCTGAGCTCATTCCCAACAATCTGCAAGTTTTTTTTCTTGTATAGTGATGAAAGTTCATGCGGTTTGTCCATTTGTTGTATTGTGCATCCAATTGTAAACAGTAAGATTACATTAACATTAGGAGGAGGCTATGTGCAGCCATTTATATTATAATTATCCAATTGAATGAATGGAGGCCAGCCTTCCGTTATCACAATCTGTGGGTTTGAATTGATTTCAAAATGTGGTATTCCTTTGTGGCTAAAATTGTCAATTTTCATCCACTTGTTTGCATGGAAGTTGGTTATAAGCAACTTAGTGTGTTCAAACCATCTTCATTCAGCAGGGACAGTTTAATATTCACAGCTACACAAATTAAAATGTTATTAAATATGCATCATTATGTTATAATGCACTGTGCTGTGAGATCCCATAGACCGTCTTGAAAGCACAGTAAGTGTAACAGCTATACTTCATTAATTATTTGGCTGTAAAAGGCTTTTTACCATCATTCAGCCTGAGAAGCGGAGGTTCACCATGAATGAGAATGAGTTTGTCAGACTTGTTCAATGATCTGGAACAAGATGAGATTACCGTTTCATGCATTGTGTCACTGTCTCCATATAAGATGCATATAAAAAAACTAACACTATGACAATGTTGTAATTCACTTTGCTTACATTCTCAAACTCAAATTATCATGGCCTGACATATTTCTTGCTTACTTGAAATATTTGGAAATCTTGTCGCAAGAGCTGGCGAGCAGGGGGTTCATTATCATATAAATGTGTTCCAGGCACCCATTTTCATTTGGAAAACGTGTCTGCTACAGGTTCAGGAACTGTTTGCTTTCCAGATCTTTCAGTGTTTTGTTTGACCTTTGTATAGAAGACACAGGAGGAGTAAATGGAAAGGCACAGGCCGGATCCAAATAGGGAGTCACATGATATTTTTTTTACTTCACTCCTACATTCTCATCACTTTCTTTCTTCTCTTTGACAGATATGAGGAGTCCTCCAGGCCACTGGATGTCGTGTGGTCACTCATGTGCTGAACATGCTGTGTGGAACCCCAAATTCTGTGTGGTCACCGACTATCAAATGCTGCTTTTGGACAAGGAAGAGGTATCGATCACACACTCTTACCATATGCTTGTAAAATTGCTATTAGGGATGCACCAGATTTTCAGCTGTAAACATTATTTTCTGATATTGGAATTTTTTGGATTTTGGTTGAAAAATAAAAAAAACGGCAGAAAATGTTAGCTAAAAAAGGCTCTTCTTTGCCATGCTGCTCTGCAGTGTTCAGCATGCTTTTTTCACTCTCCCTCCTTTAGTAATAGTGAGTTTGTTCCCGTGTCAACCAAAGAACTGAGAGTGGAACTAGAAAATCAGAGAAAGAAATATAACAAAAAATCCTCATTATCTCCTCCCAATCCTCTGAATAAGAAAATGGCATGAAAAGAAAAAATCTTCAGCACAGATGCACCCTGAACTTGCACTAACTAAAACAAAAAATACAAATAGGCACTCTTCGCCAAACTAATGTGTCTAAACATCAAACAGCCTGCGGCCAAGTTATGTATGTCACATTACTTACTATGCTGTTGGGTCTCCCTTGTCTGTACTGTAAGTCATCACATGTGTTGAATGGAAGATTAGTAGGCTAAAAATGTTTAAAACACACAACATCCATCGTGAAGTCGGATATTACAAATGACCTTTTAGATATTACAAATGAACTTTAAACAACAGATCCTTCCAACAGAAAGTCCACTCAGAATTTCAGCTTTAGGATCAAGCTAAAAGCAATCGGACACTACAAAACAGACATCGATTCCTATTGCCTCTTCAGATTTAAAGGGGTCTGTGCATGTTTGGATTGGCAGAAATCATGCATCGTCACAGAAGTGATTATGATTGACAGACCTGTCAGCCAATAGAGTTCTGAAGGTAGGTTGTACCTAATTGTGAAAGTGAAAAGGGGAGAGAGTGAGAGACAGAAAGAACCCATACAAAAAAAAAAACTATGGTTTGTAACATACACATGCACTTACTAGCCAGTTTATTAGGTACACATTACTAGTACTAGGTTGGACCCTCTTTTGCTTTTAGAACCGCCTTAATTCTTTGTGGCATAGATTCAACAAGGTACTGGAAATATTCTTCTGAGATTTTGGTCCGTATCGACATGATAACATCATGCAGTTGCTGCAGATTTGTCGGCGGCACATCCATGATGTGAATCTGCTGTTTCACCACATCCCAAAGGTGCTCTATTGGACTGAGATCTGGTGATTGTGGAGGCCATTTAAGTACATTGAACTCATTATCGTGTTCAAGAAACCAGCCATAGATGATTTGTGCTTTATGACATGGCGCGTTATCTTGCTGGAAGTAGCCATCAGAAGATGCATACACTGTGGTAATATAGGTATGGATATGATCAGCTACAATACTCAGGTAGGCTGTGGTGTTGACACAATGCTCAACTGGTTTATACTAATGGGCCCTAAGTGTGTTAAGAAAATATCCCCCACACCATGACACCACCACCAATCTCAACCGTTGATACAAGGCAGGATCGATCTATGCTTTCATGTTGCTGATGCCAAATCTTGACCTACCAAATGTCGCAACAGAAATTAAGACTTGTAGCCTCAGTTTCTCTGTAAACCCTAGAGATGGTTGTGCGTGATAGTCCAGCACATCTGGCACCAACAACCATGCCATGTTTAAAGTCACTTAATTCAGCTTTCTTCCTCATTTTGATGCTCGGTTTGAATTGCTGCAGATCGTCTTGACCATTTCTACATGCCTGAATGCATTGAGTTGCTGCCATGTGATTGGCTAATTAGAAATTTGCATTAACATGCACTTGGACAGGTGCATGAACCACGCATGCTTACCGGAAAAGCAAAGTCTCCTTAACAGAACATGTCTATGAAGTATAATTGTTTCTGCTGCTTGCAGTAGCACTCTCGACTTGTTCACTGTTCTAAAATCTGTATTATTTAAGTTGAGTTAAATTTGAAAAGTCTTTAAATTAAAAAAGTACTTCATATAATTTATTTCAAAAAGTATTTTTGCTTATAGTTTCCCTTTCTGTTTTCATCTAAGTGTCAAGAATTTAAATTTCGCTGCATCCCTAATTACTGTAACTGAAGCTTTGCTTATAACTGGCTGTGGTGTTTATATGGAATTTAGGTGATCAAATCTTGTGGACTGTGCTAGGTAATACTAGGTTTGAAAGCGTTGTCATCAAATAGCTAAAACCAAAAAACATTGATAAAATAGATAAAGTAATGGAATGAATAAAAATATCCCTTTTTTGTTTTTGTCAGTGGATTTAGTGATTCAATGGTCTGTTCATAGAGTCGATCAAGCATTTTCAACTAGTTATTATTTATTAACTAGTTTCACAGTTTTTTTTTGGTTCACTCAGCTTCTCTCTTTAAAAATATAAAAGAAAGTGTTTGTATTTATTAGTCCATATTAGTCAATATTAATTAGTCTGAATGTTTACTGAACTTTTTAAGGTAATCTTTCTTTAAAGAATATGTGTGCAGTCTTAACGCGTTCTCTTACCTCAGCCTAAGCAACAATATTAGTTCAATATTTTTTATGAATCTTATAACATTTTTCCAATATTATTTTACTGTGTTAATTAACTCTTTGCTTTTTGAATTCAGACATACCCTGTGTGTGTGTGTGTGTGTGTGTGTGTGTGTGTGTGTGTGTGTGTATATATATATATATATATATATATATATATATATATATATATATATATATATATATATATATATATATATTAGGGGTGTCAAATCGAAATCGATCAATTTATGCTCAATTTCGATTATCGAATCAAAAAATAGAATCGTCGATGCTGCCACGCCCCCATGTCACGTCAGCTTGGCTTGCCAAGCAGGAAAAAAACAGGCTTGTTGAAGTGCTTGTTAAACGGCAGAAGCAGGAGACCTGTCGACAGAACTTAAACCCTCTCCTCTTTCAATGAAGTCGCCGGTGTTTAAGCATTTTGAATTTCCAGTGAGTTATGTTGACAATGTTCATGTTGTTGACAAAAAAACACAGTTTTGCAAGCTCTGCTATGTACGTATTACGTACGGTTCGTCCGATAGACAACACCGGCATTGCGATCCTCCGCCCGCCCCCGTTGCAAATCCGCTCGCAAAAAGTACACACTCAAGCCCTGTTTACACTGTCTTTGTTTTTAAATGGCATTTTAGAACGACAACGATTTGACATACACAGTGGCATGTAGCATTTCTGAGCAGCCCTCCTTCCTCTCTACCTCTAAAAATGCACATCACGTGACCACACAGACACAGACGCACTCACAGCCATGCGGTCCAGGCAGTCAGAGGACTGCTTCAATCTTTCACTCACTTGTACTTAGTCATTTTAGCGCACACCTCAGATACTGTTGGCTGGTTCCTGTTGGTTGTGCCTCTTTTTTTTACCGACGCCATTATAACGACACAGATCACTGCCTATTCACGAGTCCCACAAAAAAAGTGATTGACAGGTGGTAATTATGTGTGTAACTTGCCTTTATTCATTTACTGTATGATTTGTTTATGGGTAAAACAAAGACCATGCAGGTCAGGAAGTTTAAACGGTAGGCTACAAATAATTAATTGGTCTTTAATTAATTAATTAATTATTCATAATCGAAAATCGAATCGAATCGTGCTTTCAGAATCGAAAATGTAATTGAATAGAGAATTTGGAGGATGGTGACACCCTTAATATATATATATATATATATATATATATATATATATATATATATATATATATATATATATATATATTGTTATGTAATGTTAATGTAAGGACATACAAAATCAGCCAAACACTCTAAACTTTTCATGAACCATTTGAACATTTAAACAAATAATTTAATAAATAACTTTTTATATATAGACGTGCGCGTATGTATGTATGTATATTTTCACTTTGCTTTTTGTATTAAATTAAAGCAAATGTCACAGAGTGAAAAACAAAGAAAGAGTCAGAAGGGTAAAGGAAGTATTATCTCCTGGTTGTGAGACTGAACTGGCACAAGCTTATAAAAGTGAATAGTGTGCTGTCTCTGTGTAGTTTGTCATGGTGACATGAGCAGGAGTGCGGTACATCAGCAGGCTCCCGGAGCTCACTTTTCGCCCTGGCAGTCAAGACACACAGCAGTTCACAGGGGAACAATCAATAGATGGCCCGCACTTGCAAAGAATATATGCTGTGTACCATGGTCGATAAAGAATTTCCAGCTCCCCCATAGCTCACGCTGTATGTCGAAGCTCTGTTATCAGCCTGAGAGCAGCTCTGTAATAAATCTCCACTCCTCTATTACTGGCCAGCCACAGCAGCGCAGAAGGATTCTCTGCTGAAGGAGGAGCAAGAGACAGATTACCAGATCTTTAATACTCAGAGCAATTTATTATCTTAAATATTACTTAAGGCGTTTTTTCTGTTGCAGCTGGTTTACAAAAGATTCTGGGTATTTTTCTGCATTTTTAGCTGTTTGGATGAGTTTGTGATTCAATGATTCATTCATAAAGATATGTGTTTGCTCTATACTTGAATTAATCAGGCCTCTGAACAAATCATGTTAACTATTTAATTAGACAGTTGTTTGCTGCCATTTTATTTTTATACTGAAAATTCAAAGTTATGTTGCAACATTTCATTTATGCAATCGTAATGCTGATTTTCATTTATTTCATTTATTACTTTGTAGTAATTTATTCAGAGGTTTTCAACAGGGGTGTTGTGACCCACTAGAACTGGGATCACCAATCTCGTTACTGGAGGTCCAGTACCCTGCAGGGTTTAGCTCGAACTTGCCTCAACACACCTGCCTGGGTGTTTCAAGTATACCTAGTAAGACCTTGATTAGCTTGTTCAGGTGTGTTTGATTAGAGTTGAAGCTAAAATCTACAGGACACTAACAAATCAACACCCTTTTGTGATTGTTTTGTATGTAAAAAGCAGAGCTAACGCCATTTCCAAACAGATTTTGCAAACAAATGTTCAAATTTCACTAATTTTCAGACATGGAATATTGTAGTATTTGGGGAATATCATGGTTATAAGACACCAATACATTGTTTAGTGTGGCTAAAGTTGAATGTAGACTGTTTTTTGAGAGCAAATACAGAGGTATTAATAATAACAAAGCACACTAGCACAGACTTCAAGTAATACACGTTCGGAGAGTTTGGCTGTAACACCATGAGGGTTGAATGTGTGCTGGAAACATGAATCTGGGAAGGTGAGCAAGGTCATATTGACAGTCAGAGCTGGCCAAATCTTACGCTGGGATGCAGAGTGCACCAGATAGAATTTTGCCTTGAGGAGCAAACTGGTAAAGACAGACCCCATTTATTGAATATCTATTTTTGGTCCTTATGTGATTTTTTTTTTTCTTCTGCATTTTTGTTTGTACAACTTTGCCATTGCATTATATATAGAAGCACTGTGAATAATATATTCATATTCGGTCCATCTGCGCCTCGTGATTTATTCTTGATTGAGTTTTTTGCTGAATTCATGTTGATTGTCTGTAGAGGTTGAATTGTCTGTCTGACACTGATTGTCCACTGATTGTCAGATGGAGTATATTAATCCTGAGATGAGGGCAATTGTAATGTTCTTTGTCTTTTTTTGTCTCTTTGTTTTCAGATTCACCCTCTGCTCCTTCAGGAAAAGAGAACTGATAGCAGTAAGTCCAGACTGCTGCGTCGCACCATCAGTGTTCCTGTGGAGACGCACTTCCCAGGGTTCCAGAGTCACCTCTCGGTGGACAACAGTGAGTGTAGTATAGTGTTGTTAGCCAATGTTTACAATGCAATATGTAACCTAACTCATCCACCATGAGTCCCCTACACTTTTAGAACATTTAGAAGTTGCATAGGATGATCTATCTATCTATCTATCTATCTGTCTGTCTGTCTGTCTGTCTGTCTGTCTGTCTGTCTGTCTGTCTGTCTGTATGTCTGTCTGTCTGTCTCTCTGTCTGTCTGTCTGTCTGTCTGTCTATTTTTTTTTTTTTTTTTTTAATTTTAGTTTTGGTTATAAAATTTTCTGCCAAGTATTTCCCTTAAAGTAAATGGAAAAGTGAGGTAGTTTTTATAACACGGGAAATGTATATAAATAATTAGCTTTTTTTTTTTTTGATGACAATTATGCTCTAATGGTTAAATCAACACCTTTGTCATGTTTATGTAAAAGGAATGCAAGGTAATATCAGTATATTCCACTGAGTGACTTGTGGTTACGTGTGGAGTCCAGCAGGGGAGGATGTTTGCTACTGAATTGTTTTGTTGTGGCAGTGGTGTTTCATCCACTGCTGTTATTACTGCTTCACCGAGGTTACTGATAACCTAGGTTTTTTTTTTTTTCTTTAAATACCTTAACTTTTTAACTTTTGATGTATGGCCACTTTATTTAGCTGATTGTGTGTGTGTGTGTTTTTGAATGCATGCATTTTTTCTCCTTGAACATGCCTCTACATAATGGACCATAAAATGGCTTTTTTTAATGAAAGGGTTTATTGGGTGGATGCTTTGTGTGTGTGTGTGTGTGTGTGTGTGTGTGTGTGTGTGTGTGTGTGTGTGTGTGTGTGTGTGTGTGTGCAGGTTTAACTGTAATTATAGGGTTGCGGAAGGGTTTGGCAGTTAATACGCAGTCTCCTAATTCTAAAGTTTAATTTTTTGGTGTTTTCTTTATCTTGTACTTTTACATCACAGCTTTTCAGTTCTGTAGCTGATTTTGAAACTGTACTTCTGTCTGTTCACTCGAGATGTGTTGCTTAATTCTGTTGTACTAAACCCATATCAAACCGTGACCTCAAAACCAAGGTACTCTACAGTATGTACCAAACCGTGACTTTTGTGTTTTGTTACAACCCTAGGATCAACAAATGCTAATGCAAAAAAAAAAAAAAAAAAAAAACATGTCACGAACTTCAACTTTTCTATTGTCTGACTCCTTTTCTTAATTACTGTCCTTTATGTTTGAAAGAGATTTCAATTATTATTGATTTAAAAAATAGCTAAAATTTTCCCACTTTATATTATATTTTATGCTTTATATTTAAATATTGCTTTATTATATATCATGTATATATTATGCTTCAAATTCGATCATTTTTGTTACAACCCTAGGATCTACAAATGCTAATGCAAAAAAAAAAAACATGTCACGAACTTCAACTTTTCTATTGTCTGACTCCTTTTCTTAATTACTGTCCTTTATGTTTGAAAGAGATTTCAATTATTATTGATTTAAAAAATAGCTAAAATTTTCCCACTTTATATTATATTCTATGCTTTATATTTAAATATTGCTTTATTATATATCATGTATATATTATGCTTCAAATTCGATCATTTTTGTTGTTTTTTCTGAGTAAAAATAACTTGCATATTACAAGAGATCACAGTACAGCCCCACAATAATAAACCATTCCAATTACTTTGAAATGCTTTGTCACTATTCTACAAACAACTACATTTCGTTTGTCAGCAAGATGTCTTTAATCATAAATGTTTTTAATAAATACAGGTTTAAATAACTATGATGTTTAATTTTTTATAGAAATACACCTATTGTTATACTAAGATTTTTTAAATAATTAAACATTTTTAAATTATTTATTCATTTTTATTTACCTTTTATTCCAACAAACATTTTAGAAAGCATATCAAATTTAAATGCCTCGTATAATATATATAAATATACTTTAAATATATTTATATATTTAAATATATTATAGGTGGCCATAGATCTTTTTTTTTTATCTAGATTAATATAGATCAATCTCGGAATAGATTAAAATGGCTTATTTGAATTCTGCAAAAGGCTTTCAGAATAAGCGTTCTACCCAAATAATAAGTCTTTGAGAAAGTGTTTTTCAAGCCAGGTGGCGCATTAGACCAGTGGCTCATCTCCTGTTTCCAAAATGCATTACAAACTGCTTGGGAAAATGTTTTACTATGATAATTGGGGATGAAAATAAATTGTTTAATAAGATATATAAGCTCAAAACAGTAAATTTTTGATCACCTTAACCCGACTAAAGTCATTACTGAACTAAACAGAAATGGAATTAAGACATGTAGAGTATGCAGATATTAGTGGCACTACTGAAGTAAACACCTCAATCAAACTATTACCGTCATGTAGGACTTTTCACCATATTTTCCTACAAGATCAACACATGTGGCTGTCAGTAAAGGACCACACACACACATTGCGAAACGTGGAACTTTTTTTTTCTTTTCATTTGTCGTGCATTATTAAATTCCATATTACTCTCACCAGTCCTTACTCCTTATTTATGTCTAATACCCCAGTTTTTCACAGGGGTATGAATGAAATGTTCATGAATTAAAGTGAAACTGCCGAACTGCAGTTAAAGTCTGGCATCCTGCTGATTTGATTCAGAAGGGCACTTTTTTGTCTGACGACTCGCCTGTATTTGTTATACATCCGCGCTAACATATTAACATGAAAGTCATCATAGCTTGCGTAGAACAGACACAGCTCCCAACCCAACTTTGACAATAGATTAACGCAGATTTTTTTTTTTTATCACACGATAAAAGTCTCGTGTCAGCGCTGATAATGGCCCACCACTAATACACACACACGACAAGATGTTCAGATTAATTTTGTTATACTCAAAAAAAAAAGTGTATATATCTCATCAGATATATAACTGTATTTTTCTTGTTTGCCCCTGCCGATACTGAAAAACTGATTGAAGAGACAAACTGAAGTAAATCTCCAAGCTCCCTCTTCTGCTCCTTTTGAAAACTATAGCACCTTCTGCTTGATGTCTTCAACCAGAGTCTGAAAGTGAGAACAAACTTCATTAACTTACCTTGATTCAAAAACATCACAGCAATTTAAAGCAAATTAAAACATAGTCATCAGGGAGTATTTTAAACATAACTCTTTGGTAACTAAATAATATTAATGTCAACTTTCCTCTTTTTAGATGTATAGATGTAATTGTGCATGCTTGTTAGCCTCACAGGCAAACATCAAAGTGTTGCATAGTTTGCAAAGCTAGAGATCATTCAGGTGAATCAATGATGTGTGGTGAAACAGTGCTAAACTGATAGCTCATTGAAATGCTTAGCTAGACTAAAGTAGCTCATTATCACGTATATAACAGTGTGCACAGAGCCTAAAATTAACACTCGCCAAGTGCCAAATGAGAGGAAAAAATCAATACTGGCATGTATATGAAACTGTTACTTAGTTGGCTGCTAACTTAATTTATTAATTCTAACAATGCACGAAAGGCAATTTGACTTATTTCAGTTTGGGTTCTGATGCATTTTATTTCACCGTGATCCATTTTCACATAAACTGTTCGTAATAACAATGTTTTTTTAAGTAATAGTTTTTTTTATTGAAGTTTGTTGTAATACTAAAATGGTGAACATACAATAGTTTACACTTTCTTACGTTTCTTGAGCTAGCACTGGCTACATGTTAGTTTTGGACAGTTTGTTTTCAGTAAATTAAATTTTTCATGGAATTTCTGAATAATATATTTTTGTAGTCTCTTACAGTTTTAAGATTTTCAAATGACTAGGCCTAATCCCAGTTCTATTTTTGTTCCCCTTGCCCCTTGAAGTAAGAAGGGGAAGGGCTTCGAAATTTACCCCTAAGAAATGTGACAGCTACACTACAACACATTCACATGTCATCATATGCAATCTCTTGCTTCACATGAGATCAGACGATCACGACTGCTGTAGTCATTCCAGTTGTTTTTTTTTTGTATTTATTTTCAGGAAATCACTGAAGGTGACGATATCAAGGTTATCTTAACAATATAATGTGGCAATAAGAATGTAATTGTACTGTGCATTTATACCGTGACCATATACATCAATGTAAGCACAAGAACATTAACATTACAGCAGACACTGTAAAAAGCCCATTTCCAGCCACTAGACTCTTGACAGGGGATTTCAGTGTCACCGAGTGACAGAATGTTGTGGGACTACTATACAGCAGTTATTATAAAACATGATGCAAAAAGACTTTAAGAGAATTGGGACACACCTACCCCTTCACAAGAATGCGCAAAATGGGGTAAGGGGAAGGGCTAAGGGGAAGAATTGGGATTGGGCCCAATACTGATTAAGGATGTATAGCTATTCATAAATATTAGTCATTTTATTTTAGTTTTTCCATAAAGAGTCAATTTTGCAGGCTCTGTCAAATCTCTCTAATATCTAAAGGCGTATGAAAGCACTAGTCACAGATGTGCTATATCTGCTTGCCACAGATGCTGTTAAGAATCATGAGAGAAGTAGGAGCAAAAGAGAGGCCCATACTTATGAGAACAGTCGATCTGCATGCGCACCACATGCGTCCATTCTGTGTCTCTTTCTCTTTCTGTCTCTCTCTCTCTCTCTCTCTCTGGAGCAGTAGACAAACACAGAGTGGTTCCCTACACAAAGGGTGAAGGGAACACACCTCTCTCTCTCTCGCTCTCTCTTTCTCTCTCTCTCGCTCGCTCTTCCTTTCTCGTCCCATCTGTCTCCTTTCAGCACTGTTTTTCAGTTGTTGGACAGCAGTTCAGCACTCTGTGAAGTTATGGAGTCTGAGACGAGCCCTGAGTCGGAGGGTCAGTCCGGTAAGTGCTTGTGGAGGAAAGATGCTTTTGGCCCTTGACTCGGTATTGGTGAGAGATGGAGATGGAAAAATGGCATATTGTGTTAAAATGCTGTAATATTGGATGCATGCGTTTGTTGTTAACTTGTCTCAGATAAAATGCCTACA